GGGAGCCCAATGCGGGGCTCGATCCCAGGACTCTGGGATCATGACCTGAGCCGAAGGCAGATGCTTAACGACTGAGCCACCCAGGCGCCCCCAATCCCCTCTTCTTGCAGGAAGCCTTCCGTATTTATGCCAGCCCCGCGCCCTCCCCAGCTCAAAGCAGTGGCAGCGCTAACCACCTCTCTGGCAATCAGCATGCCATGTTCCACGCTGGTTTTTAACAAGGCCATATATGGAGTTCATCTCCCAGCGGGATCATAAGCCCCATTTGTGCAAAGACTACCTCCTTTTCTCCTTCCCTCCCATGGTGCTTAGCCCAGGATTGCTCACACAGGGTATAAGAGATGCATGGATGCATGGATGAACAAATGAACGAATGAATGAATGGGCACTCTCTTTGGCCCTCCACATGCCTTGCTTCAAATGGAGGGTGAGTGTGAGGCCCAGTGGATTCCCTCAGGGCTGAACAGGGAGCCACGGAGATGCAACCCCTCCCTCTGTCTTCCTCCTTCCCCCTCCCTAGCACCAGCACCCCCTACCTAGCCAAGGGTCGCCTGGCCCTATTGACAGCCTCCAGGTCAGCATAGCGCAGGTCCAGCTGGCAGCCCACCAAGATGACAGGTGCTCGGGGGCAGAAGTGCTTGATTTCTGGGTACCACATGGTCTTGACGTGGTGGAGGGAATTAGGGTTGGCAATGGAGAAGCACAGAACCACCACATCGGATCTGGGGGTGGGAGAGGGAGGTTATGGGCAGGGAAAGCTAGTGGTAGGTTACCTGCCCCTGGAACAAGGGAGAACACGCATACCCACCCCACCCTACAACACTACATTCCACATCTGTCACAGGCATCTGCTCACATGACCTGACACAGAATGTATAATAATAGGACCTCTAATTTATATACCTCTAATTTAGCATTTTAGAGCTTCCGAAAAACCTCATTTTGACCTCATGGCTATCTTATGGGTTAGAAATTACCATTTCACAATCCATGGCTGAGGAAAATCAATTCAGAACAGTTCCCTTAATTGCACATAGTCCCAGAGCTGAGAGGTAGCAGGGCTAAGAGTCCAACCTGGCCTCCTGACTCCAAACCCGGCTCCTTCCACTGCCCAGGGCTGCCTCCCCTGTGAGGGTCTGCCATGCTGTTTTCTCTGCTCCCTCCTCCCAGCTGAAATTTCACAGCATTGCTGTTCCTTGGGAAAGCAGGGAAAACCTACCCACCTGGCTCCCCGCAGGCAACCAGAGGCCTTACCTACCTCCCATAAGCAAAGCGACGATCTTTGTGGTGGTCTCCAAAGGTGTCCCAGAGGCGGAGGGAGACGCTGACATCATCTACCACATCTCTGGAGCGTTCCAGCACCTGTGGGGCGTGGGGGGTGGGGAGGAGAGGAGTGGGAATCAAGGGCAACAGTGCTAGGGGCCTCTGCATGTCAGCTCAGGGTGGCACCGGCTCATCTCTGAGGGTCCCAGACAGCATGGGGGTGAAGGGACAGAGCTAGCTGGGGTTCCAGCAGCTTCTTTTGTGTGCCGTGCCCAGCACTTTCTCCGGGCGCCGTCTCTGCAGACGCCAACGGCAAGAGTGGGCTCTAAGCTGGCTGGAAGGGAAGAGCCTCTAAGAGGGCAGACTGTCCTGGGGTGCAAGGGATCTCAGGGAGCCTGCCCTGTTCCCAGCTTCACCTGCACATGACAAGCCTCTGATTTTGGTATTGGCCGAGAGCTTCTTTCTTCCTCATCTTTCCAACACCCCCCCTTCCCCGCAGTGCTCCCCATTACTGGGGGCTCTGATTGCACAAGATGCTGTGCCCCAGGCAAAGCTTGGGTCTCAGGCACCAGCTCAGCCATGCAAAACACAAATGGTTAGGGATCCCTCCCCTGGGGTGGACTCCCCTCAGCCCTCTCTCCTGAGGCTCCCTCCTCTTCAGCTGCCCCCGCCCCATCCCCAGGGGCCTCCGTGAGCTCGGCACACGCCTCCGGGCCACATTTGGAGACACTGAGCTACATCTTGGAAAGAAGCCCAAGTACATGGGGCGGACCCCCAGCCGAGCGGCCTTGCAGCCTTACCTCCTGGCACACCCGATACTGGTCGATGGCCCAAACCGTGGGCACATGGGTGGCGAGCAGCTGGTACTGGGTGAGGGTGGCATTGCAGGCCCGGGCACAGATGAGCCTGGTCTTGCCCACCGCGTTGTCTCCCACCACAACGCACTTGATGGTCTCTACGTTTGGCCTTTCATAATCCATGTCAGAATCCATTAATTGGGACCTGAGGGAGAGGAGTGTAGTGGTCAAGATGGCTCCGCACCCCAGCTCCCTGACGGCCGGGGCCAGCCGCTCTCCTCAGCTGGGGCTGGCCCCTCTGCCAGCATTTGAGTGGAGAGGGGGCGAAAGGAGTGGGTAGCTTTCTGGGCGATCGTTCTGCGGGGCCTGAGAAGCTGGGGGCCCATTCAGGCTCAGAGGCGCAGTGGTACCACGTGAAACGCTCGTCTGCCTCCTGTTGCCATCATCCTCCCACTGGGCTTCTGGCTGGGGGAGGCCTGTGAGAGATCCCACGGCAGAACCTGCCCGGGGCCTGTCCCCGCTCCCTCAGGAAGAGGAGAGTCCGCCTGGGAAGCTCACTCATCACCCACACTCTCCTCCTCTGGACAGCACAACAACAAACAGCTGAGAGAAGCGGAGTCCCGGCCAGGTCCCCACCCCTTTCCAGCATGCCGGAGGGCAGGACCACTTTAAAATTTAATGGACTTGTCAGAGCTGGGTGGCAGCTCTCCTGTCCTCCACCTTTGACTCCCTCCCTCCCTGGTGGTGGATTTTCAAGCCCTGGCTTGCCTATGGCTACCCTTCAATGCTAACCCCCAGCCTCCTTCAGGGAGATGCCAGAATTTTTCCTCCCAGTCCCTCTGGAGGCACCTGAGCAGCCCATGGGCCTCCCCTCCCCTCCTCGGAGCCTGTCATGTTGCCTGTAGGGCTCACTCAGCGGCAGGCCCAGTTTTGAGACGGCAGTGGAGATAAACATGGGCCTGTGACTATTCACTCCATGGCCAGTGGGCCTTCCTGCCCCTACTCAGGCATGCCCTCCAGGCATCCTGCATGCAGCCTCAGGGAGAGTGAGATATGCCCCCTTCTGTGCCTTCCTTTCCTAGGAAGGAGGATTCTCAGGCTGGAAGCCCCCAGACCCCTGGCACACTCCTGGTAGGCTGCTTGCTCAATTGGCTGCATGGGTAATGGGGTTGTTGGGGGAAGCAGAGGGTCAGAGACTTGGGCTTGAATTTCTGGGCAAATGCTTGCCTCAGTTTCCTTCTGTGCTGAGCAGAGAGGGAGTGCCTTGTCCACCCACAGAGGGAGATGGCTCAAATGGGAACAAAAAGAAGGCCTTCCTATAGTCAAAATGTCATGTCAGTGTTTAAAAAGCTGTCACCAGGAAGGGATCCTCAGCTTGAGGGCGAGGGGGCTTTTGGTGGCAGTCTCCCAGTGGCATCTACTCTCCCGAAAGGGTTGAGGGGAGGAGGCAGGGGTAGGTGCAAGGCAGACGTTGTTAGGGAACTTGAGTTCCCTGAGTAGGGGCAGGAAGGCCCACTGGTTTCAGCTAGGTCACTGGCCTGCCCCTGCTCACATTCCCTGTGTGCACAAAGCCAGCCGGGGGCTGGAGCAGCCTGAGGACTCCTTCCTAGGCCAAGGAAGGCTGAGCTCCTAAGCGTCCTGGAGGCAGTCCAGGGGCCCTCACTGCTGAGCCATCCAGCCAGAGAGCCGGGCCACCAGCAGCAACCGAGCAGCTCCATTCGTGCTGGGCTGTAACTGGATGCCAGCATGCAGGAATGCAGAACTGAAATATCCAAGTAACGATGGCAACTGGGATTTGCGTGAGTAGATACATCTCAGCAACCTAAGCAAAAAGTGCAGCAAGGACTTTTCAATGAGACAAGCACCTCCTCCTTCTTGGAATTTTACAGGATCTGAACTCGAAACAAGGGGTCTCCACGCAGCCCCTCCCCAGTCTCCAGAGCAATCGTCTGCAGGATTCCTCCTGCCTCCTCCACCCCTCCTCACCTTCCCCAGTGGGCCAGCCATTGTCCTAACCACCATCTTGCCTCCTCCCTGCTCTCTCCTGAGCTGAGGACCAGGAACCCCACTTTGATGGGTCCTGGTCTCAAGTCAGGCAACTGGGAAGGAATCGCCTGGGCTGTAGTTCTATACACTGAAGAACAAAACAGACTCCCCAATAGGACTATGTATAGCCGGAGGAGAAAGACTATAACCCACTCGCCAGTAGAACTTCTTTCTCAGATTTAGATTCGAATGGCCTGTGGGTGTGGAAGCAGAAGGGGGCTGAGGAGGCACAGAGGAGGGGCATCAGTTCGTAAATCCAGGAGCATCTGGACCATGAGGAAGAGGCCAGAACACTGGCAGGGCAATGCTGATTCAAAATCAGAGAGTTAATGGTTAAAAGACCCCTGCACACCTCATTCACCTCTATGGTTAAGTAGGGGAGAGCCAACCAACAAGTAGGAAGGCAACAAACGCTGCCGTGAGTGTAGACAGCAGACCTGCTGGGTGCTTCTCTGGCTGGGCAGTCCCTTCCCATCCACTCTCCAGCGCTCCGCAGCCTTCCCCTGCTTGCCCTCTGACTTCCCCCCTATTTTTATCATTCTCACCCCCTTCACCCCTGTCCCAACCGCCTGACTTCAGATCTAGGAAACTTCATATCTAGGAGAGGGCAAATCACTTCCCTTCTCTGGGCATCAGTCTGCCCTTCTGGAAAATGGGTATGAGGGCTTTGGAAGAAAGTTTCCCGAATCTTGGTGAATTCGTGCCAAGAGAGCCCAGCGGAAAGGAGGTATTTGTCTTATGTAATCTGGTATTATATAATGCTAGATTACATATCTATATATGTAATTCTATCTCTCTTTAAGGTACAGACTGGCCCCATTAAGCCAACAGGCAAAACTCTTTAGTCGAATCAGGCTTGTCTTAAACGAGGATCCTGTACTGGAGCTGGCGTGCCAAAGCCAGCAGTAATAGAATTTTTGCTTTAGAATATTGCTACTTTACTGTCTCATTGCTGATGTATGATGATACAACCCACTCAATGAGCTTCTCAACTTCCCCTTCCCTTCTGGCACTCTCTCCTTCAATGACTCTAGACTTTTCCGCACAATTGCCTCATCCTCATTCCTTCTGAGCCCCTAGACAAACCTCCATAGACTATGGCTTCCTTGCCATCCTGCCCTGGGTGTCACAACCTCCAATTCATTCCTCTCCCTCAGTAATCCCAGAGTCACACAGGTGCTCCTTCCCTACCCTGTCCCATGATCCCTGTCCCCCTCTCCACAATCAGCCTCCTGCCCACTGCTCTCCCAGCTCTGTGTACTCAAGCCAGGCCAAAAAGCCAGGTGTGCTCAGATTAGCTCCAACCCTCACCGAGTCCCAGTCCCACCCCCACACCCCTACACACACTCTTTGCAGAGCCCAGAAAAGCCCCCCTTTCCCTCCCACAGCTGATAGGAGGCTTGTTCATCTGTGGCTGCCCTAGTCTGGTTGTCAAGGAAACGACAGAATCTCCCTGGGAGCCTGGTTTGTCTCCTAGCAACCAATATCCCACATCCTGCATCTTACAAAATGCAAAAAGGAGGAATATCCTCAAAATGAAGGTAAAAATCGAGGAGGATGGAGAGGAAGGGAGAATCGGGAAGAGAAGAACAGAGAGGGTGGCTTTTCACCAGTGTTGCTGACACTGTAATATTGGGGAAGGTGGGGAGATGAATCCCTCCTGCAGATCCAGTGTACAGCAAGGCTCAAAGGGATCTTGAATGATCATATTAACAAAAAATGCAAACCTAAACACACTCAAAAAAACCTTCTCAAACATCAACAAACAACGCTAAGCATCTCTCCCATAGTTTGCCAGAACTCTGATGCACAGACTGCAATGGAGTTGGGTTGAAAGAAATATCTCCGGAACGGCGAGCAAAGCATCCAAATTCCACTGGTTTTTAACGGAAACATTTCCACCACTCTGGACCTTTATTCCTCCCACGCTGCTCTGCACACACACACACGAAATAAAAAAAATTTTTTAAATGGGGAAAGAGGAAGGCCACGACAACGCCAAGGCAATCAAGTCATCTTCCTTTCTCTAGAAAAACCCGGAAAAGGTTAGTCCCCCGCCCCCTGAGGCCCCAGCAGCCAAAGCTATAGCCAAGGGGAGAGGGGGTGCCGGGGGAGGGGGACAGTCTTCAGAAGGGGCGCAGATAGGGCCGGGGAGGGCACAGGAGGGCGAAGCGGCGCGTTTCCAGGCAGCTTGCAACCCGGCCATAATAGAAATTAATCATTTACTTACACCACTACATGTGACGGGGTAATTTCTAGTGTAAGGAACACATCTCTTCCTGCTAAGCACGCTCATTTTAGTGAAATGTCTGGGGTCACTCCGCGCGTGCAAGTTAGGACGATGCCGGCGCCGCCGCGCTGCCGCCGCCGCCGCCGCCGCCGCCGCCGCCGCTGCTACAGGCTCCGGGCCCGGGTCGCGCTAGATCAGAAACTCTGACAGAGCAGCCCAGGCCGGACGGCGGGCCGGGAGCGGCCGCGCGCGCGGCACTGCAGCCATTGCCTCTTCCGGATCAGCATCTCCCCGCGCCCCGGGCGCCCAATGTCATGGAGGCACGCTGGAGTGGGCTGCGCGCTGCCGCCCCGACCTCGGGCGGCTGGGCCGCGCCGCCGCCGCGGGTCCTCTAGCTGCGGAGGCTGGAGGCGACGCGCAGTTGAGAAGGGGGGCGAGGCCGCCGCCGCTACGCGCCCGGCCCGCTCCGAAGGCGCGGCCGCGAAGACGCCTAGCGCTGCAGTCCCGGGGACCGCTCGCGACCTCCTTTTTTCATTCACAAAAAAAGGAAAGGGGAAAAAAAAAAAAGAAAGAAAGGGAAGAAGAATGGGGGGGGAAATCGCACCCAGGACGGCTGCCGTGCCAGGCTTCGCCCATCGCGGAGCTCCATTGGTGGAAAGGGGCCTGGGGGCGGGGGAGGGGCGGGGAAAGAAGGGGATTGGGCCACCGGCGGCCCCGCCCCTGCCCCGCCCCGCGGCGCCGCTCACACCCTCCCACCCTGCCTCCCTTCCCCCGCCCGGAGGGAAGAGGCTCGAAGGATCTCGGCTCACCCCCGGTCAGGGCGCAAAACCTCGCCGGACTCCCGCAGGGTTTTCCCCTTTCCTCCGGGAGGCTGCGAAAGAACTCTGAGACGCATCTTAGCCCTGGAAGGGATGCGAGTTAGGGGAGGGGAACTTGACATATTTTCCTTGCCCCTTAAACCCAGGCTTCCACCCCTGGCCCTCAGGGAGAGGAACACAGCCTTTCCACACAGGCCCTCCTCTGGCTTGAGAGTTTTCCTGGCACCTGAGGGCCTTCCTTCCCTGATCACCAGCCGTTCAGCTACGGCCTGTGCGGGCCTGTGCGTCCGACTGCCGTGGCCCATGAGCTTTATTTAGAGTGGGTCACTGTATCACCTGTACCATCTAGGCCTTCTCCCCTTCCCTCCCTCTTCAGCAGTCTCTGCGTCCATCCCACGCCCATCCTATTGCCACCTGGAGTTTACCAGTATCTTCTGACCTCTTAAAAGAAATGCCATGAAGACACTAGCCCTGGAGACGGTGTCTAAGACACCTTTGTGCTCTCCGTCTCGATTTACTGCTCTGTAAAACAAAGAGGTTATTAAGGGATGACATCTGTAATATGAGCAGCCCTCAAGGGAAGTTTCCATGTTCAAGGCTGGTTTGATTCTGATGATCTTGACTACTGGTAATTACAGTGGCCAGCTCAGTCTGGTTTTATCCATCTTGTCAATTACCTCTGGACAATTTTTTTTTTTTT